CAATTTGTTTCTGGGTGCAACCAGAGTGGCTGGTGTTGACTTTTAAGCCCTACAGGACATTGGACTGGATTGTTTGAGGAACTATCTCTTCCCATTTCATCGGCCAGTCCCCCAGATCTAATGGAATGGGTAAGTTATGGGTTCCATGTCTAGGGAGTCATGTCTAGGGAGGCAGGCCTGAGGCAGCAGGTCTTTTCTGCTATGGCACCTATATTGTAGAATCTTCTCCCCTTCTCCCCCCTCAAAGATGAGATCATTCTTGAGCTTTAGTTTATTAGTTTCTAGTAATTATCAGTTTCTAATAATTAATATATAATGGTTTTAGGTAATGACTGTTTTATATTTACTGTTTTATTGGATTAATGTATGCTGCCCAGTGTCACTTTTCATGAAGTAGGTGGCTAAATAAATTTAATTAATATACAAAACATTTAATTGCTAAAATTGAGCCATACATTGTTACTTTCAGGGGTGGGATTCAACTGGTGTAATAACTGGCTAGGTGAGCATGCTTTGTGCACGTGTGCAGCATTTGAAAATCATCTCCTGCAAGCCTCTCATCTTCTCCTGCCATGCAAAGCAGCTGGTTTGAAAAAGCAGGAAATGAAGGACAGCCTTGAGTCCAGGTGGGACAAACAGAAGATCGTTGGAGCGAATCGGTTCTCTCTCAGCTGATCTTTGGAGCTACCGGTTCAGCAGAAGTGGGCCAAACCGGTAGAATCCTACGTCTGGTTACTTTCATACTTTTAATAGCTAGTTAAGTATCTCATCTTACCAGTGAGATTATAGTTGGGGGAAAGACAAACAAATTAGAGGTCCAATTCCATATTAGAATATATTATGAAAGGGCTTATTCTAATTCCAAGTTCAAAAGTCTGGACCAGTACCATATTATTATTATATGGATAAATTAAATATCACAAAACAATAAAGTAACATTGGTGTTGATAAAGCTGTTTGATGAAAAACATCGATTTATACAATCTGAATTTATATAACCTTAAAATTTATATATGATAGAAATTTATATAATCTTGAAAAAGACTTCAAAAACAAGTACAATATAGATACTAAAATTGTTACCAAATTCAATTTTGTGTCATAGACAAAAATAACTATTTGTATTTTTAATATATACTTATAGAAAAAAAATGAAATGCAATTCCAAGTTAGCAACAACATTTTCTGTTTGTAGACACTATTGAGTTTGTCATGAGTACTGTTTCCTTGTTCTACTGTAGTAGATAAGAATTTGTTTCCACATCTGTAACTTGATTTCAACAAGCTGTGGAATGAGATTGAGAGAATAAACAGCAAGCTAGAAGCCTCACAGGCTTCAGGTCAGTGATTACTTTCTTCTCTGCTTAGTATTTTAGACAAGAGGTTTTTGAAATTATTCAAGCTGAGGATCTGTTAGTTTTTAAAAACAATCTGCCAGAACCCCTGATCTAGAGACAAAGCTCTAGTGAGAGAAAATTGGCTGTGCTAAAGTGAACTCTTTTTTTGCCCTTAGTCTCTCATGGAACTTCGACTTCTCACAGAACCCTAGGATTTCACAAAACAGTTTGGAAAGCTGATAGGCAATGGATTCCACAGTACATCAATGGAATGGATATTGCTTCCAAAGTGAACTGTGAGCTAAGGGTAGGAGTGAAGTGACTCCTGAAATTCAGCATGGCAAAGCTGGCTATTAAGAAAATAGTAAAGAGGTAAAATGGCTGATAAATGAAATGCACCATATCACTTGCCAGTGAGTCCTACACAAACCTTTCAGGAAGACAAAATCTATAAATTGCTAGCTACCCAGCTATAAGGAAATGTTTTGTAGAACATAACTGAAGTTTAAATCCTGAGAACTTCTTTTTGTCATGACTGTTTAAAAAAAAACACACCAAGCGAGGACATTTTCTTTGCTTTCCAATCATAGGCTCAAATGCATTTCCTGACTCCCAATCCTACAACTTATTCAATGATCAACCAGAGAAAGATATCTAAGTACATGTCTGTGTCTTCTCTCATTTACCAAGGGTTGTTTCTGGTTAGCAATTTGGAAGAGTATTTTCCCTCTTCAAGTAAATATGACATCTCCTCTGAGAGAGAAGACTGTTTCTTGTCCTCTGAATGCCTCCTGCCAAAAAAAACTATGCCTGAGTTTTATTAAATATTTTTTTTGCCTTACTTATGATGAAAAAGTAGTGCTTATGATTTGAATTGCTATCTAATGAGAATAGTAATAAGATCATTGCTACCCATAACATAGGAGGGAATTAAAGGGGTCACTATGTGAGTACTTTATGGGTTGTGATGCAAGAAAATGCATTATGAGCATGTCCACATTTTTGCAAGTGGTTCCTCCATATATGGAGAGCATAATACAACTATAAGGTTTTAACAATATTTCCATAAATTTTCTCCCAGTCACTTATATATATAGCCACGTATATATGGCTTTAAAAAATGTTTAAATGTTTTTTGTAAAGTTTGTATAATTGTTCAATTTTTTTCCATTGCTTTAATTGTAAGCTGCCCAGAGTCATGAATGGGAGATAGCAGTTGTATAAATTGAACATACAAATAAATATATCTACATTTAGTGCCCTTCTTGGGTTCTCAATGGTGTACTTTATCTTTCTATATTACTCAGTAGAAGACATAGGAGCTATATTGATAGCATATCACGCCCAGCAATATGGAACGCAGACACCATTAAAGAACAAGAGCACAAAAAAAACCCATTTTTCTTCTCTTGATGCACCAATAAGATTAAACACCATTGGACATGCCACCTACTAATTATTTTATCTAGACACATTATGTATCCTCAGGGGAGTGACCTATGTAATTGGCTTTCACATCACATATAATGAGTTCTTTAGAACAAGATGTACAACTGAGGTTCTACAGCTCAAGGAGTCCAGGAAAATGGGGTTTCTGAAGCTTAAAAGCCACTGTTGTAAATTTGAAAATTTCTCTATCTGCCTGCAGCAAATATATAAGCTTTTATTTCCTTTTGTGTTCCAGCTGAATGTAAGTATCACTCATAGAAACTCAAATTACAACGAAGACAGCAAAATACAAAACAGGTACACAAAAACTATTTCAAATTATCAAAAGCCATAGAAGGTTGTAAATCACCCTGTGATATTTAGCTGAATAAATACCATTTGGCCAGTTCCAGCTCAGTGCAAGATACAACATTTATAATATGATAGTGATAATAGCCTATTTGGGCTTTCTATATAAAAATCACATAGATTTCCGATCACAGTAAAGTTGTACATGACCGTAGAACATAATATTGCACAGTAATATTATATTGTGTCTATCACGTCATCATAAGAGAAAAAGAGTGACAGGAGAAACCTTACCTTGCTATAACAATAAGGTCCAAAAGCATTAGATCTCCCACCTTCCTAACTGCACAGCCTCCTAACTAGCTTTTTGTCTTGTTCTCATTAATATCAATAAAAATCATAATGAAACAGGTTGCTAACCTGAGAACAGTAGACACATCATTGCAATTCATCCAAAGAATACAAAAAGGAATCATGATAAAATGACTATTACGAAAAACTAGAAAAGAAAAAAAAAGAACACTGGGGCATTTTCTGGGCTATATGATAGGAAAACTTTATTATTGCACTTTGTGGCATGCATCTTACCAACATTATTAATATACTAGAAGCATTTTAAATGGGGCCATATGACAGAAAGCACTTTTAGATATTAATGATAGGCAAACAAAAATACCACTTCAAGTTTATGTCACAACAGAAATTAACAAACAGGGAAAGCAATATTGTATTCATGAAGCAAGAATTGTATCTCATATGAACTACATTCCCGACCAGTGGTGGTATTCGACCGGTTCTCCCCGGTTCTGGAGAGCCGTAGGAGCGATGAGCAATGGAGAGCAAACCGGTTCTCTCCGCTGTTCTAATGGTTCTGCTGTTGGGCCTGCCCGCTCACCCGGGCTCCCATACTCACCTTTATCCGCTGAATTTGAAGCACAGCTGCTTTGCATGGCACAGAAGAGTGCCGCGCGGCAGCTGCTGAAACAACCGGGAGATCATGCAGGCTTCCAGGAGGCGAGGCAGAATGCCTCTGCGCCTGCGCAAAGTACGCGTTTGGCACATGCATGCATGCAAAGTGTGTGCACGCACGCAAAGCGCGCCCACCAAACCATGCCCACCGAACCGGTGGCAACAATGTTTGAATCCCACCACTGATTCAGACTGCAAACAAAGCACCGTGTTAGAAAGATCCAAAAAACATCCCACGAGTACAACCATTAACGAACATCACCCCAAAGTTTTATAAGCCTGTACAGAACCATATGCTACCAACATATATTCTTCCTAACAATTGTCAGTATATGCACCTGGAAAGTAAGCCAAACCTTACTATACTTCTGAGAAATACCACACAATATTTCATAACCTGAAGGGGTAGCCATGTTGTATGTCCCCTGACACTTAAATTGAACATCAACTCATTCATGGGGAACACCAAAGCCCTCTCTATGAAATAAATGCATGATGAAGACGTTTTTTTAAATATTAACCAGTGAAAATGAGGGGGAAAACATAGCGATTTGAACAGACACCACATGCTTCACTGAAAGCGGTTTCTATTGTCACCTATCTTCTTAAACATGGAATCCCCACCTATTAGTATCAGATACTGAAGACGGCACAACAAGGGGAAGGCTGCTGCGGCTGCTACCTGCTTGGGCGCTTCCCAACGGGTTCTAGCCGGTCACCAGATGAAGCAAACCTTTTGTCTACTGTGGAAAAATAAGTTGGCAGGTTTTTTAAGGCGAGGGGAAGGCACGCCGGCCCTGCTTCGTGACACCCCCAACCACCCCCCATTTCCAGCCTCCGCTTTTGTGCCACACCCACCCGCCTCCAGCATCTGCCGCAACCCACTCCCTCGTTTTCCCTCGCTCCTTTCCTTCCTTCCTTCCTCCCCTGCCCGCCCCAGCTCTCTTCCCACCTTACCGTGCTGGGTGAAGATATTGAAGCCGCTGTCGGCAGCTCGCGGAGCGGCCGTTTCTCGCCTCCGGCTGGCAGGCCTACTCCCGCTGCTATTACTCCCACGATGCCCTCTGGGTTGAGACTGTGGCTGGGAAAGAGGCAGCAGCTGCTGCTGCTGCTGCTGCTGCTGTTGTTGCGGCGGCGGCGGCGGCTGATGTTGAAGCGCAGCGGCACCCGGCTCGCCGACGCGGCCCACCTGCTGGCCCATCCCCGCTCTCCTCCCGTTCTGGGCCCCCGCCAGAGCCCTCCGTCTCCTCCTCCTGCTCACATTCCGCCCCCTACCCCGCTTTAGAAGCCGCACCCGGCGCTTCCCAGAGCTGCTCTGCCTCGTCCCCCACGCCTCGCCGCCGTTCTCCGGACAGGCCGTCACGGACTCGCCCCCTCACCCCCCACAGCCGCCATCTTAACCACAGAGCTTGCTGGAAAGGACAGAACGACTCCCTCTCGCCCACACTTCCCACCTCCGGTCCTCCAGGGACGTCGGTAGCTCCTCCTGGCCCCGCCTCGCCTCCGCCTGCAGCACCGCCCCGAATCGCCGAGGATGGCCCGCCCGTTTCCTTGCAAGTCTCGGGTCCTTTCTTTGGCGGCTTCCTTGGAAAGCCGGGAAACGGTACAGTATTTAAGCAAATAAATCAGAAGGTTCAGATGAAATGCCCTCAGGTTAATCTCAGTTCGCAATATCCCACGGTAAATATATTAACAACATTTTTATTGTGTTCTCTCAAATGTAGGATCGCGAAGTACAATTAATTAATTTTCAATTAATTGAATTAATTAATTATTGCATTAATTATCAGTTAATTATTGCATTTGCACAATCAAGTGCAGTAATGAATTGTTTGCTGAGAGGAATCTGTCCAGGGCACAGAAATGTTGCAGTTAAGAGGAAATGCCTTAATTGCATTTCAATGGAAAGATTTAGTCCAAACTAGTATAGGTAATACCGGTAGTATTTTTTTAAGAAAAGAACGGTCATATGGAATGGAAATGCATAGAGATGTTCTATTAAATACAGGTAGTCTCACTTATCAGCCACAATTGGGACTGGCAACTTGGTTGCTAAACAGTGCAGTCACAAAGTGGAAAGCTGACTGATGGGTTTAAAATCTTCCTATTCTGTCCTTATGCAAAACATCATGTGGCCACAACTTTTGATTTTACTTCCACCTTCTCCATTCTACATGTCCCAAAATTGATCCCAACTCCTCCCCGCCATGGCAATCTTATGACCACGGGACACTGTGATGGTTGTAAATGTGACTGGTTGCAATGTTTTTTTAAAAACACTGTCATATTATGAGCAGTCATTAAATGAGGCTGTCAATAAGCAGGACCTATCTATAAAACAATTTAAAACAATATATAACAAAGAAATGGTGAAACTAGAAAGCTATTTTTTAATTCTAGGGTTCTATAAAGCGCCCTACACTTTTAAGTATAGATGGTTATTTTAGTTTCTGGTATTTTGAGAAAATGAAATCTGGCCATCTGCTAAAAGATAAATTGATGGTGATGATGGCAAAGTACCGCAGACTTGTGTCTCATGATGGTTTACAATAAAAAATTAGTACAAAAAACATTAATGAGAATTAAACAATCATTAAAATCTTTTTTTAAACATTTGATACCAACAAGGGGGCCAGTTTTCTTAGTTCTGGACTGCATTTCAGAGAACGCTGGTGATTCTTGTAAAGGTTTACCTTTGAATCACTCGTCTGAAGTTGGAACATCATCAACACAGTGATAAAAACAATCTGCTCTCACACGGAGGGAAAAAAAACTGCTAAAAATATAGGATGACATCATTGGCCTGACACAGGAAAAATGCAGTTAAACTTGCAAATCAAACCAAGGTGAAAGAGCTGACAAAACTAATTCACAAAAAGCTGAAAAGTGCAAAGGAGATTTTTAGGATCTGTGGAGGCATCAGAAGGGTGTGGTGATTAATGAATACTCTAGTCAATCTTGGAAGCAGTTTGAGGAAAGCCCAGCTGCCCCAGCCCAACCATCACTATTACGATAAGTTGAGATGGTGAAACAACCACCAGTGGTACAACATTGGATACACTGTTTTGATTTTCTTTTAAGTTGTTACCCACTAGCAGTGTTAGAACAGGAACAAGATAATCCAGAACTACCACCTAGAATTGCACTGTATGTGAAAGCTAAGCCAAGCAAAAAGGATGTTTCTGCAGCAGTAACAAAGCTGCAGGACAGACCAAGTCATTGTGGAGTTGCTGAAGCCTGGGGGAGAAGGTGGCTATAATACTTGATTATATTCATATGTTGTTCTCAGTGATATGGAAAGCAGAACTGACATTTGCTACTGTACCCATGTTTAAAAAGGGTGACACATGACAGCATGAAGACTATTGCAGAATCAGCTCGTCTGTACTGCAATTAGGCAGCATGAAAACTATAGCAGAATCAGCCCGTCTGTACAGTAATTAGAAATGTCCCCATGCAGGTTATCAAGCACATTTAGAGCCAGTGACAGAAGTCTCCACCCAGGAAGACCAATGTGGCTTTAGACTGGGTCATAGTGGTGTGGATCAGATTTTCACTATAAGGCAAGTAGTAGAGGCTAAAGGTTAAGGAAGGCAAACTATTGCTATCTTGACTGATTTCAAGAGTGCCTCTGACAGTGTTCACCAGAGGTCAATATAGAAAGTTCTTTGTGATCAGCATTTCCAGCAAAATCATACAAGTTCATTGTTGCCTTTTATGATGGTAGGGTTAAAGTACATGATGACAAAATCAGTCTCTTCACAGTCCAAGCACAACTGAGAAAATAGTTTGTACCATAATCCTTATTGTTCAATGTGCTAGTACATTGGATAATGGAGAAAAGTAGGGGAATGTCATGTGAAGAAGTTCATAATTGCAACATAGATTGATAACACTGTTTTCATAAAGAAATCAGAACTAAAAGCAAACTAGAGGAAATTGGATTATGGATAAATGTAAAAAAGGGATCAAGGCCATGTTGATCAATGGTACATGAATTAAACTTGTCTTTAGTGGTGAACCAGTAGGTTGATGAGCTCGAGTTCTTAAGTTCTTTGATTTCTGCATCTATAGTTGTGACATCTACTGATAGTGATTCAAGAAATAGTAGTACTCAAGCAGCTTTCCCTAGCAAATGGTGGCTCCTCTGGAAGAAGAAAAACATTAGCCTGAAAATGAAGATTTGAGAATTCAATACAGCTATCATGCCAGTTTTTCTCTAAGCAGTGGAAACATGGACATTGTTTAGGGGCTGTGGAAGCTGGAGGTTTTACACACACACACACACACACCCAACAAGTTCGCAAGTACAAATTCACACACATTTCTCTCCCTCCCACAGAAATAATAGAAACCCCACAAAAATCCCAAGACTGCATGGTAATACATGGGGAAGAAAAAGAGAGAAACCCACTTTAGGCATTCACAAAGGGTTGATTTACCAGGTATACAGCTTCTCCAAGTTACCAGCTAACCTTCAGAGGCATCTAGGCTATATAATTGCAATTTCTGTATCTGTTGCACTTTTATTCATACTTTTCTTTTCAGCAGTTTCTGTTCTTATCAGCAAATGTAAAATGAGGGCCTTGTCACCCAACAGGTAATTATTTAGAGAGGGGGAAAAATCTAAGGTAAACATCGTATTATTAATTATTTAACTTGATTTCCATGTTAAATTAACCAATTTCCAAGGCTTTTATCTGATGAAAGGAAGCTGCAGCTCAAGAAAGCTTATACCTGATTTTTGTTCTGATTTTAAGTGTCTCAGTAGCATATAATAAAAAATAAAAAAGTAATAAATTCCAAAGGCAACTGGACTTTCTTGTCCAATTGTCTTTTGGAAAAAGCACCTTTGGGACAACCATGAACTGGATGATGGAGAATCTCCATAGACAATTAAATAGCAAGGAAAACAAAAAGAAAGCAAGCAGTATTAATCATTTACAACTACATTCAGCGGTTCAAATCCTCTTGTTTTTAAGAGATTTCTTTAAAAGCATTGAGTTACTGAAGTAGCATATATCATTCCTATGAGAGTATATGATGGATGGCTAATGTCACACAGCTAGACAAGTTCATGGCAATTTTATGATTTTATCAGTGTGAAAGCTCAAATAGATGCATTCATTATTTGAAAGTACCCCATTAAAATCTAAATAGGCTTGTAATCTGTTTAGATTTTTATCATTATTATTTGTGCCTTCAAGGCAGTCGTCCCTCCTGGCAACTGGCTGTACAAGTCCAGGCAGTTTTCTTAACAATTTTTTTCAGAAGCAGTTTGTCATCTTGCTAGGGCTGATGAGAAGTGACTTGCCCTATGTCACCCAGCTGGCTTTTGTGCCTAAAGCAAGACTAGAACCCATGATCTCCTAGTTTCTAGACCACTGCTTTTAATCAGTACATTAATCTGATTCTCTAGTTAAGATTTTGGCAGTAATAAAATATTTTCACACTAGAGATTGCAGAGTTGCCATGGAAATGGCTAATTTTGAGGCAAATATATCACTGTTCTTACAATGAAATAGTGGGAAACAGCGAACTATTATACAGACTCACAATCAATCTGCAAAAAACAGATTTAGAAACAATTCAAGCTGCAGGTAGTCCTCAACTTATAACCAAATTGGGACCAGAATTTCCTTTGCTAAGTAAGTTGTTAAATTTTGTGCCCAATTTTACTTTTTTTTTTTGGCCACAATTGTTAAGCAAATCATTGCAGCTGTTAAGTTAAGGCTGTCAAACTCACGCTCCCGCCCCCCTTGGGCCAGATGCTTCACACGTTAGCTACGCCCACACCTGGTTTAGCAAAGGGGAAAAAAGCCATGATACATCATGTGACGATATCGTGATGATGCGAGTTTGACGCTCCTGTGTTAAGTGAATCACATGGTCATTAAGCAAACCTGGCTTCCCCCATTGACTTTGATTGTTGGCTGGGAAGATTGCACATGGTGATCACATGATCCCATCATAAAAACTTGCCAGTTGTCAAGCACCCAAATTTTGAACACGTGACTATGAGGATGTTAAAACGGTCATGTGTGAGTTCTAGTCATAAGTCACTTTTTTTCACGCAATAGTGGCAAATAGTATGCAAATATCTTAAATGTTTCATTACTAATAAAAGAAAAGTTAATAGGTCCAAGGAAAGACATGGCTTTGTGTATAACGTCCATAATAGACATCAATGGTTGAAAATCTTATTTTGGGGAGACAGTGCACAAAATTCTTTATTGCTATTTATTGTACATCAGTATCAGATGCGTCCAAATTCATGCTTTTGTCTCTTACAAAAATGCTGAACATTATTTTTCTAGTGCCTATTACTACCATGGATCCAAGGCAGAGGTGGTATTCAGCAGGTTGTGACCAGTTCTGGAGAACCGGTAGTGGAAATTTTGAGTAC